ATCTATATATATATATATATATATATATATATATATATATTAATATAAGAAAGCAAAAGAAATAAAGATGAGGAGCTTCGATCCCCCCTCTAGCGTCGATTTGAGCTGAGAAGGGCCTGGGGCTGGTGATGACGATGAGAGGAGACGGAGGAGACAGATATCGTGATGAGTTGCTGCAGCAGCAGCAGCAGCTGCTGCTGCTGCCGCAGCAACTCAACACGATGATATATGCTGCAGCGAATGCTAGGAGACAACCCCACATATAAACACACCTAAACCCCCCTTCTCGCTGTCTGCTTTAACAGAGAAGGAGTCTCCTTATGTAGACCCCTACAAACAAACTGCCCCCCTCTCTCTCTCCCTGGGTACTGTCTCCTCATACGAGGAGACAAATTAAAAAACTAAGACAAAGTGCTCATAGGTAGAGTTATAAGAGCAGTGGCCCCCCTTTCTCTCTCTATAAAGGAGACACAAGGGGACTGTCTCCTCCTTAAGAAGTTTGTTCAGCCCCTACCTGTGTGTGGGGCCCCTAGCTAACTCTCTGCTGTCTCTAGGCAACGCTGCAGCTACGAGGGGGCCCCCGTATGGGGGGCCCCCAGCTGTGGGGCCCCCGCGTGTCAGTTGTATGCGGTTGTAGGGGCCCTGCGTTGTGCTTATAGATGGTAGCTAGAGATATGTCTCCTCAACAGGGGGACAGAGAAGAAAGGAGACAGTGTTGTCTCCCCCCACCAGGTGTATGTACTCCTAATATTTTAAAATAAAAAAATTTCAGCAGTAACTGGCTTTCTTTTTTTTCGTTACAGCTGAGGTGTATGTACACCTCAAGGGGGCCAGGGTCACTCACCGCTCAGGTGACCCCGGGCTGTCTCAGGGCCCCGGCTGCATGCTATCTGCTGCTGAGCAGAGTGAAAACCAAAATTAAATATAAAAATAAACTCATAAAGAGGCATAGGGCCCCCAGGGGGGCCCCCAGGGGCCCCCATACGGGGGCCCCCCAGCTGCCCTGGCGGCCTGGCTTGGCTATCTCGCCGCATGTACGCGGGTTTATCTATTTGTATATTTAGCTGTGGAGACAGCTGATGTTTTCTGTGTTTCTTTGTTGTCTTTATAACCCCAAATAAAGAGAGTGAATACCTATTTAATATAATAAACTAACTCTTGCCTAGAAGACCCCTCTTTGTCTTCGGCAGAGTAGGAGAGAGAGAAAACAAGAAAGGAGACAGTTCAACCCTGCACTGCTGCGGCCGCGAGAGACAGCAGGGGCCCCTAGCCCCCCACACAAAGGAGACAGGGGGCCCCACGCCGTGCCCCCTTGGTGGTGTGTTGCCCCCAAGGGCCCCCAGGGGCCCCCCCAGGGGCCCCCAAGGTGTTCACAGGCAGAGCTGAGAGGCGCTGAGGGCAGTGGTGTTGGTGGTGTTGTGTTGCTGCTGTTTGTTCGGGTGTATGGTGAGCTTGCTGCATGAGGAGACAAAAGCAGCAAAAGGAGACAGCAATGAGGCCCCACACAAGTCCCCATGCTGCAGCAGCCGAGCGGTTTGTGTCTCCTTATGAACTCTTAGAGAGTGAGGGAACACAACAGGAAGATATAAAAAGGAGACAGCTGTCTCCTCCTGTCTCTCCTCTCAATAAAAAGGAGACAGCAAGCAGAAACCCCAAGGACACCTGCCACCGGAGCCCTGCAGCAAAGGCTGCTGAGAAGGAGGGGGAGACAGCAGCAGCAGCAGCAGCAGCAGCAGCAGCAGCACACAAACAAGATACAGGCAAGCATAACCCCACACGAGGCCCGGATGCAGCAGCAGCAGCAGCTGCTGCTGCTGCTGCTGCTGCTTCACAGCAACAAGGAGATTCTATCGTCTCCCTGAGATGTCCTAATCAGTCCCTTCTTAATAAAGGAGACATAAAAGGAGACAGAAAAGGAGACAAAAAAGGAGACAGAAAAGGAGACAGAAAAGGAGACACGCAAGGAGACAGACAAGCAGAAGATACTCCCCAAACACAGTGCGCTGCGTCCGCCAGTCCTCGGCAACAGCAGCAGCAGCAGCAGCAGCAGCAACACCAACAGCAACACCCGCAGCAGCAGCAGCAGCAGCA